ATACTTAGGAGCTGTGTAACCTTGATAAAGCGATTTGACCACTCTGTGGTTATGAAATGTACAACAGGATCCACCCCAAAGTGTTGCTGTGAACAGTAAATGAGTGACTATATGAAAAAATGTTTCTGTCCCCTGCACTTGGCACCCTGAGATAGCAGATTGGCCAGCATGCCTTCTCTCATGATGTGGAATGACTGAATTTTTTATTGCATAGGCTTTAAAAAAAAATCAGACGGGAATTATTGATGTGAATATTTCTATTAAGAAGAGGTAAAAAGTGGGGATATGAAGTGAGAAGGGATTTCTATAACTGGAATTGAGAGAGTGAGGTGGGTACTGATGAAGGAAGGGTATGTTTTAAAGAGATGGGACCATTTCTACCTCTGACTAACTCAGGGAAACTGATCAGGGCCCTGGGTAAGCTGAGCAATAGTAGATCAGATGGAAGCAGATCAGCAGGAAGACGGTTGCAATATGAAAAGAAAGAGTTCTCACCTGGGAATAACAGAGAGCAACGAGCCCCATAGAGAAGGTATTGAATTCCTCAGGATATTAGAGGAAAATCCCACTGGGATTTGAAAAGAAAGTTCTGGGTTGAAAGTTCTGGGTCACTGGCTATTTCTCTGCTTACCACAAAGGTTTCCAATGTGGATTTAACTAAAGTGAGGCATGCCTGGCATTCAGCATGTTGACAGGCGAGCATAGTGGGTGCATAATAAATGCTGGTTTCTTTCCTTCCCCCTCTTACTGAGCAAGGGTTTTCTTTCAAGTCATTGCAAGAAATGGCTTTGTCTTCAGAAAGGAGCTGCAAAGATGAACCAAGAATACAAACTGGAAATGACTATAAAATCCTGATCTGTGAGTCTCTATCAAGCTGAATTTGGAAGCATGAGACTTGTACTTGTAAGTTGCCTGATTTGTACAGTTTGCACCCTGAGATCCTGTTAATTAGAGCAAAGCAGTCTGCACCTTTGTACCATTCCAGATGCTCCTCTGGAGAGGACACAGTAAGGAGAAGCACACGGGAGAAGTGCAATGTTAGGAAAAAAACTGGAAGGTGACCTTGGAGGTGTAGAATGGATAAAAAGTGGCCTAAGTGTCCCTAGTGGTCCACAGCTGGTCACTGCCTGGCCAGGGAAGGATTATTAGTTAAGACCAGCAGCAGCCTGGCTAGATGTGGGAAAGATCTACTTATTTGAACTGACATCTGCCTCTTTGGAACCTGTACCTCAGTGTTTCTTATTTGTTTGTCTACCACAAAGAATCAAGAACAGTTTTGAACAAAAACTTAATGTGCCGTATGGGAGACTGGGAGACTGACAGTGTCATGTCTGAGTGAGTGATGAAGAGGCAGTGGTCCCTGGGGAAGGAGTGCAGCAGTGTTGATGGGAGAGGCTGGTGGGTGCAGACTTCTGACTTCTGGATTCGTCAATGACTAACATCGGAGAAGCAGCACATATGAGGCAAAATCTTCCCTCTGTCACTTCCTGTTCACGGGAGGTCAGACTTGATGTCTCATCTGCAAGTTGGGTTGTATACCAAGTTTGCTTGAGGATTAATGAGTTAGTATCTAATATGCCCTCACGATGCTCATGGTGCACATGGGAGTCTGCCTCACGTCCCTCACGTCCAACCTGTCAGCAGATCCTGTGGCTTGCCCTTCCAGCCATATTCTGAATCTGGCAGCTTCTCGGCACTGACACTCTCTTGGCCCAAGACACCGTTCCCTCTCACCTGGTTTGCGGCAATAACCTTCTAGGTGGTTCAAAAAGTGGCAGTCAGATCCCTGCTGGGAAAACCTGGGTCAGGTCATGACCCTTCTCTCTCAAGCCTCCAGTGGCTGGTTATGTGACCGTGAGTAAAGCCTTCATGGTTCTACAGGGAACATCTGCAAGCTGGGCTCTGGGCTCCCTTTGTCCGCTGTACTTTTCTCTAGAGCCTTTAATTCTGCCCATTCATGAAATTATTTTATTTATGGTCTTTCTCCTTCCACTAGAAGATGTGGTCTTTTCTTCATCTTATTCAGTTCTGAAGCCACAGTGCCTAGAACAGTGCCTGCCACATAGAAGCATCGCCATACCAGCCCTTGAACTGGCTAAAAGAATCCTTGTGAAGTACATAGAGAATGCCTGGGGCGAGGCGAGTGTTCAGTGTCCGTTAGGAATTATGGGCATCATGATTCTTCCCAGATGATGGCTGCCTTCTCAAATCACTCCTCTATCAGTCAAAGCCCCTTTGAACTACATATCAACTACAGAACTGCTCGGGGCTGCTGTGTTCAGTCTGCCTACTCCACCTCTAGGCCATAGCATCCCGGAGGCCTTGAGTTAGGCTCTTATGCAACCAAAACATAATTATGTACAAAATTAACTAATTTTTAGTTGTGGACACAGTTTCTATGAAGCCAACAGAGGAGAGGACTGGGATTGTAGGCATTATGAACAGTCTTTGGTTTAGACACACATGACCCTATTATTGGTGGTGACAGAAAGTGCCCTACACACATCAGGAGTCCCGTGGAACAGTTCTGGGAGCTAACCTGGGCAGTGTTTCATTATATAAAACATCAGGCAGCAGGGGCTAATATTTATACTTATGCTGCTGTTACTTACAATATTACTATGTGTAATATATAATAATGCATATATGATAGATGACATATTGAGATGAAAGAGGAATGAACTTTAAACAATCAGCCAATTTTACATACATACAGGTATAAATATTGGCATATAAATGAATATTTTGTATATATGTATACATGCATGTCTATTTGCATGTATGTATTGGACTATAGTCTTGATTAAAATGTAGAATTAAAAAAAATTTTTTGTACTTGTGGATGGACAGCATGGCTTTATTTTTTAATTTTTATGTGGTGCTAAGGATAGAACCTAGTGCCTCACACATGCTAGGCAAGCGTTCTACCACTGAGCTACAGCCCCAGCCCTGAAATATAGAATTTTAAGATTAGAAAAATATAAACTTAAGGGGAGTCACTTCGTCCTGAAATTATCTGGTTTGTAGTATAACTAGGGACTCTGTACCTATAAAAAATGATAAAAATTGAGCACAGCTACAACGTTTTGTGGAATCTGTTACCCAAGTGCCCAAGAAACAATAAAGGAAGATGATCTATCCTTGAGTTGCATTCTGTTATACCCTTAGTTTGGAGTTGGCATAGCGTTCATTTACACGGACTTATACTTATGCACTTAACATACTACAAAAATTTAAAGCACTGTTCCTTTCTTTATGTAACTTATTTCAGATAAGCTAATACAGCCAATGACGGAATTAATTCATTCTTTACATTTTCAATGAAGCATCAGTTATTTAAACACTTGACTCACAGTTTCAGTAGTAATAAAACAACAAGAAACAGAACCCCGGTTAGCATTTCCCGCCATCTCTGATGTGAGTGAAAATGTGATGGAGTACTGACATTCATTTCACTTTGAATTAAATATAGCATTGCCGTAAGTCTCAAGGGACGATATTAAGTTCCGTGTTTGAGTAATGCTGGGAATTCCACAGGCATGGGTAGAATTATATTTGGTTGGCACAAAGCCAGTCAAACTTCACACTTGTCTTAGAGAAGGTGGTCCTACTGGCTACAATTGCTTCAACTATCTGGGTCTCAGAATCTTTTGCGTTACTCATTTTGAAGATAAAATAAACAACACAGAGTGAGATAAAATGAAAAGAAGATATTATGTTAGAATTGATCTTGGGGAAAAGCAGGTTCAGACCAGATAGAACATATCAAACAGGAACAAAGAATAGAACTGGGTTTCCCAAGAGGTATCATCTGAGACACACACACACCATTTATATGTATGTAAATTTTTCTTCAGAAAAAAGGACTCAGGAACCAAGGCAAGGAGGAGATGTTTTCACAATTCACAGCCTTCCCTCTATTCTTAAAATACATGCTGTAAATTTTCTAGGGTTCACAGTGCATGTTTAAAAGATGCCTTTGCATGTGGTGGAAGAAAGTACTTGCTCCTGATGCATCTGGATTGGCTGTAATGGCATGTGATGCCTCCAATAAACTTAACCACAAAAAAGTTTTTAAATGTGCCTGCATTCTGCTAATTTATAAAAAGCAGGATGCTGTCAGATAAAATTTCATGAAAATGATCTATAAACCAGACTGTCAAAAGTGAAAGGTACTCAGGCAGTACTTAGGGACAAGAAATACATGGAAACCACTGGAAAGGGCTCCTGTGACTGTGGTAAAACAATGTCCTGTAACAGGGCTCATGTTACCTTGATTTGCAAGTTACTGTGAGGTCACAGGAAATCCCGAAATGTTTTCCACATTTTCTTTTATACATTTTATGTCAAATTTCCTGCAATTGAAATCATAAACCCTCCTACTGCTGGATTCTCTTCTGAAGGAAAGGAGATCTTTTGACACTCCCCCATGAACACCTAATAACTCAATTTCTACCAGCGTAACAAGAAACTGAGAGACAGAATGGAAAATGGACTATGATAAGGCTGAAATGTCACGTGCCCTAATTCTTTCAAAATGAGAACCAAACTGATGTCATTAAGACAACTTGGAAAGCGCATTTAATCTAGCGATGGCAGGCTTTTCTTTAGAGTAAGAGATAATTTAAGAAATGACAGACTGCCCCAAAGACAGAAACACACTGTGCCCCCAAACCTCTTACCCAGAATGTTCTTGTGGATTTACAGTCTAATTTTAAAATGGCATCTCCTACATGGATATTCCTAACATGATTCAAACTCCTAACCACCATATTTTATTGTTCCAGCTGTTTTTGAAAGGATAAAAAATCAGATTTAAGTTAAACGTTCATGCTTAAAATATTCTATAAAGATTCATCATTCCCAACTGTGGAATTTAAAAATAGCTTTTGAATGGTTAAATGCTATTTGAACATAAATCAACAAAATGGAAAATCATGCTAAACGATGCAAGTTCATTAACGAATATCAGTGGATCACAAGTCATTAGTGAACATTACCTCTCCAGACATATCAGGGGCCATCGGAACAGCAGGCCACAGCGATGAGTAGATTCCAAAAAACACCACCCAGAGCGCGATACTGCCCCAGATTGCTATGTGGCTGAACTGCAAAGCAAGGAAATCTGAGTCAAAGCCAACTCCAGCCAGCGGAGTGTGCAAACACTAGTGAAACTTCACAAATTCCCTTATTAATTTTTTACTACAGTCACAAAAATATTATCTATAGGAATTGCTACATAATTGCCTGTGTGAATGTGTTTTACTGCATCTTTCATTAAGTGCTAATCTCTTCTACAACAGTAACAACGTTTGTGGGACTGGAATTTCAACTACCCATTCCTTCTCTGATCTCCTGTAGTGACTATTTACTTCTTTACCTGATACCATCTTTAAGCCTCCTTTATTTTTGCTCCCCATAAAAGAATTCAGATCCTTTTAAGAATATTACGTGGATGCCCCAAACTGCCAATCCCAATTTCTTGTGCCAATCTTTCCCCTGATTATCAAACTTTAATTTTTTTCCTCTACGTCTTTCTACCCAAATATACAGAGATACTGCAAAGCTAACATAATGAAAATAGAACTTGATTTATCCAAACTGGGAATTTATAAATATCTGAGGATAGATAGTTCATTAATATTACTGGTCTTCAGAATTATTTTCCAATGTGTCTGTGTCTGTGACACTCTAAGAAAAGTTTCATGGACACACAAGTTGGGAAGTTGGTAAGTTTGCCTACTTCCTGGGATACTCACAATACATAATACTGAAAAATTTTGTGATAATAAACTTGTTTGCTTAACTCAGTGTTTCCAAACTAGAATTCTTAATTCTCTTCCCTCTACTCTCAACTCCCCACAGTTAACAATCTCTAGATGAGAATAAAGGGACATATCAATTTAGAATTAAAAATACAAAAAAATTGGAAAGAATGAACAAGCAAATGTGACAATTCTTAGGTGTAATCAGAGATACTCTTACCCACGTCCAATACGATGTTTCCAGTCCAGCTTTCAAACACACAGTTATCACTACAAACTGAAACAGAAAGGGAAAATGTCATTTTATTTCATAAATATGAATTTATCAAGTGACTGAGATTTTTTTTTTTTTTGTACCAGCGATTGAACCTAGGGGTGCTTAACCACTGAGCCACATCCCAGCCCTTTTTGAGGCTGGCTTTGAACTCTGGATCCTCTTGTCTTAGCCTCCTGAGATGCTGGGACTACAGGTGTGTACCACCATGCCTGGCCTGAGAGTGAGATTTATAAAGAACAGATAGCATTGAATTAAACAGTGGGACTGTAAATTATTTGTTGCTTGCTTTGTCTGCACAAGCAAAAAATGAGATGAGCCAGCCGGCTGGCTCACATCAGGACGAGGTCAGCCAGAGCTGCCTGTTTGCAGCACAGGACTCCTATCGCCTGTCCCTGCCTCTCCTCAAGTCCACAGTCTAAGAGTCCATCCATGAGGCTCCTGAGGACATGTCTGCCTGCTTTTTGTACAATTCATGAATAGTGACAGCACAGTGTTAACTTGGGTTTTCAAGCTGCCTTTAACTGAATTTTAAATCATGTTTCATACTAAAAGCCCACCTTTCTGAATTTCAAAGATAAATTATAAAAATGAAATAATGGTATTTAGAAATCTAAACACTCATTCTGCAACTTTATGCCCTTAAAATGTAACGTTTATGTAGCTGGTTGTGAGAGTCTGTTACCCTTCCATGACACACACCTTGATGGTGACTATGACGATAATTTGGAGGGGAGGGAACTGGGACTACCCTCACTGCTGTTTCCCATGGTTACATTTGTTTGCTCTGGAGTCAGATTATCTGTGCCTGCTTTGGTTAATGAATAAGGCAAGTTACTTTATCTGTGTGTGTCTTAGCTCTATCCGTAAACTGGCTCTGATAAAGCTTACCTACCTCGTAGGGAGGGGTTGTGTTTTATGCTTGAGGTCAAAACACTAATATAAAACACTGGGAACCATGCTTGGCACTGGAAGACTATTTATTATGGTCTATGTAAAACTAATAATAAAATTTTAAATGCTGTTAGTAGTCAAGGGAACTCTGGGCACTTTGAGTAGTTGCTGGTGATGGAAGTAAGATGTTTGCCTGGCACTGGTGACTAATAAATGCCCCAAGTTCCCAGCCCTACTTTAAGGCACTTTCAGGGTTTGAGCCCAGCATTTGCTTAGACGCTTCCCAATGGGGTCTTAAAGTTAGGTTAAAGGAAGACAGTGGGCTTTCTCAGCAGGAGATCTAGTGGCAAGTTTGGATTAATATCTGTAGAAATAAAACTCTTATTAAAATGTAAATGTTAATTAAGCTACATAAAAAGTTCTAAAATAAAATCTAGTTTGACATGTAAGATCATAAAAAAATCCTCTCCTGAGACTTGAGCACTTTAAAGGTTCCTAAGCCACATCCATGACACATACACTGACTTATTTCTACCTTTGCCATTAAGTATTTACCTATTTCTGTTTTGCATTCCTGTTGTAATAGAAGGAAGCCCCAGTCCCTCCAACCTGCTTTTGCTTTTCTTTTACTACTTCAATGGGTTGGTGTCAATGGAAAGGACACCCCCCAGATTTGCTAGAGCCTCAATAACTCTGTTATCGAATGATCTTAACTTCCCATTATCCAGCTATTGAAACACTTGAGATGGATCCTTTTTGTGTTTGGGTGCTGGGGACTGCATGGGAAATCTGTGTGTGTCTTAGCTCTATCCGTAGGTGCGTGCTTTACCACTGAGCTACACGGCCAGCCCACAACCCCTGACATTTAAACACCCTATTACAGCTTTTCTATCAACAATGGCCACTGAAAAACACACTGTCTGTCCAGAGGACAAGGAATGTGACACAGAGGGTGTGGCCAGAGCTATGCTAGCAGAATTCAAACTTGAAGGTTGAAGTGACCCTTTGTCAGATGCCCACATCATCAGACACAGACCTCAGGCAGCAGCACCCACTAGGGCTCCTGGCTTTAAAGGGAGATGGTTTAAAAACACTTTTCAGCTTGTTAGTGGCAGGAAAGCTCAGACCCATCTGTGTACGTACCCACGGTGCAAGAGCTAGTGTTGCACACACTCACCGGAGCCTGGAGATCCCTCACATTTTAGTTATTAAGAGCCTCAAAATAATAACTGGCTACATACCCAAGAGTGCTTTGATAAAATTTGCCACAAATTCAGGAATGCAAGAAAATATTAACTATGGCCGTAAAATAAATTTGAGGAGAAAGGAAAATGGAAAGAAAAAAAAAAAACACAAATCAGGGCAGTAAGAATAAAAAGGAAATACAGAAAACAAAAGCATACGAAGTCCTTTAAAGTCAGTGAACCCAAGAGACATTTTAAAAAGCTAATATAGAGAATCTCTAAAAAGTCAAAATACCTTATTTCATTTTTAAAGGGAATTAACATTTAAGCCCGGAAAATTTTAAATTTAAGAATAAAATGTGCACAGATGAAAGGCTTGGTTTTATATGCAAACAAGGCAAATGCCCTTCTGTACTCACAGTGTACACAAAATTCCCCAGAAGCAGGTAATCGGAAGTTTTCCCATTTCCAAATACATTACCTGCAAGAGAAGACAGACTTGTTAGAAAAAATGATTGAGGTTCTAGGAAAGAAAATTCAATTTAGAAATTTTGAACAAAACAGGGGAAAATAAGGGATGGACATTGGAGCCAGAAATGAGGTTAATGTAGAAAAACACCTTTTCTAGTCTCACAAAGTTGCTATACAGATAAGCCTCCCCAAAACAAATTTCCAAAAGCCAACATGAAGCAGGAAACTTGACTGGTGAACCAACTCCTGTCTTTTACACCTATATTGATTTTTGTATTTTGAAGATTAACTTTACCTGTAGAACTTATCTAAGGTTGGGGTGTTTTGAATTATACCCTGAACTTCAAGATCCCATGGCTCCAAAAAGTAGAAACAACACAAATGATCATCAACTGAATAACAGACAAACAAAATGTGTTGGATTGTATACAGTGGAACATTATTCAGCTATAAAAGGAATAAAGTTCTTATTCATGCTACAACATGGATAAATTAAGGTCAGTTATATAATTTCATTTATATAAAAATCTCCAAGACAGAAAAATCAGTCGTTGCCAGAGGATTGGGGGAGGCTTAGGAGAAACAGGGAGTGATTGCTAATAGGCACAGAGTTTCTTTACTGAATGATGAAAAGGTTCTGGCGTTGATAATGGTGACATCTGCGAGGCCCCTGAATATACGAAAATCCACTGAATTATACACCTTAAAATGGTGAACTTTATGGATATGAAATATATCTCAAAAACAAAATATTCCTATGGCCTAGAAAGTGAAAGTATTTACTGCTATCATTTACTGAGCAATTAATAAAGGAAATTAAAAACTATGCCAGGATGTGAAACCACTGTCTTCTCCGTAGCACTTGCTTATTCACACTGCATGCTCCCGGTAATTCATCCATAATTTACTGAGCACCTATGAGAAGCTGGGAATTGTTTTAAGCAAAGCAAACACAATAGAGCTGACTGATTCCATACCCTTCTGAATAGAGGAGAAAGACAAATACTCCCAAAAACCCAAAAAACAAATACATCACACCTTGATAGACAAGTACCATGAAGAAACACAGGGACAACAAAGGGCTGGGGCTACAGGAACAATGGGGCAGAGTGACCCCACTGTTTTGCCCTGGGAGACCCTAGAGGGCCTCTCCGAGCACACCTGGGGGCAGAGTGAACCACTAGACTATGGTGAGGAAGAAGCAATGGTATGGAGGTGGAGGACTGCATCTAACCATGGTGAGACTGTGGTTCCCCAGGAGGGAGACACCTGTCTTGATTTGTGTTTATAGGGATCCTTCCTGCAGTAAAGAGCAAGCAGCAGGCTCTGGCTGATAACCAGAAGCTCAGACGGAAGGTGTGGCTTGCACTTAGGAAGGACTGGCATCTTCACATGGGGGTAACTTGCAGGATTTTACTGCAGTAGTCTTGGAGCACAGGCACGGAATGGCCGGTGGTCTTCCCTAGCATCTCAGGGCAAGGTCTGCTCCAGGACACAGAAGCTAGTGTGTCTCATGGACCTCTTTCCCAAAGTGGCTACTGAATCATTTTTATGTGATGGGAAGTATGCCATGATCCTATCTGTCAATACGGACAGAATAAAATCACTCCCTTGAAATGAGCAGAGCCGAAGTTTGCACTCCAAGATGAACATAAGAACGAATTAAAAACCTCACTCCAAATTGGCTCGAATCTAGCTGAAAATACTAGCCAGTCTGATTAGGCTGCGCGTAAAGTGCTTGACCAAATCTCACAGGTATAATAAATAGACTACATAAAATATTAGCACTTATTGTCTTCAAACTATACATCAACAGAGGAGGAGAAAAAAGAGCCCTAAAATTTAACTCTCTGCAAGTTTGGAAAACATGAGAAGTAAAGAAGAAAGGCTTTGCATACATTAAATCACTTTGCTCCCAGAGGAATAATAAAAATCTTTAAAGTGTGTACGACTTTGGGATGCGTACATTCTAGGTTAAGGAAAATACTGCTACAATTTTTTTTTTTAAAACATATATTTAGAGTGTGTTCCTTTTCTAAAAAAGTAAAAAGTCATCTTTTAGCATTCATCTCTTTTCTACTTACCATACTGAAGGGCTTTTAATGGAAACCAAAACAGAATAACGGAGTGGAAGAGGCCATTTAAACAATGAACCCAGAAAACCTGAGGGAAAACAAAAATCCATGAGAACCATTTGCGATAAACTAGCTCTGTGAACTCTGACCTTTCTTTTTATCTATGAGCTAGATTCACAAAACGTGTTTCTGTCAGGCCACCACTGTGAATTAATAGAACTGACAGACACTTTCTGCCTCTTAGACTTTCATGGGTCATTTATTTATTTTTATGTTTCTCAAAATGTTTTTTCAGCTTCCCTTGAATTTTTTCCACTACTTTTTTTAAAAAAAAAAAAAAAAACCCAAGTATCAAAAGTTTAAATTTCTGCCTAAAAAAGAAAATAAAATGTACAATAAATGCAGATCTTGAGATTCCTTAGGTGGGACTATTTTCATAATCCCAGAAGAACAGAGTTGTTTTTTTTTTTTTTTTTTTTTAAAGACTGTAATTGGGAGAAATCCCTTTCTGTTCCCCAGGTACATACAAGTGTCAACTTTTCAATGATAACAAGATAGGGCGCTCACTCTCTCTTTTGCTATAGAAACACACAGATATACATGTTATGTTAAAAACAGCAAGTACAACGATTAAAATAATACTTTTTGCAGCTTTTTAAAACACCTGTCAATACCAAATTTCATATCATTATAACACCATTTAATAATAATATGACTTTTCATGTCTGTCCTATTTTAAGAACAAGAGAGCGAGGACTACTTTTTATGTAGCATGAATGTGAAAGATTAAGTTATAGAAGAACTGTTTAGAATTCTTACGGGCCCTCTGAACAGTTGTAGTTTTGTCATTTAAAAGTGCCTCTTGCAAACAAAACTCATACTAAACAAAATTGGCACGTATTAATAGTTTAAAGCTGTTCAAACAACAGAAATTAAGTCGCCTGCCTCCCCAAATTTTCCACTGGGCTCTCAATCTCCTTTGTTAGTTCACCGGGCCACACTGGATTGTATGATCCAATTTACGCCCCAACACATTACACATTTGAACTTGTGTTACTCATTAACCTTTGTCGCTTCTCCTCACTGTGTCATTACCACAACTTTTTATTTGACAGAAAGCACAGGTGGGTGCAAGAAAAATTAGTTCTACTTTTCCATTTTCCTGACTGATACTTATTGTCACATGCTAATCCTTTAACCCCTGTCCCGACCTCAGAACCTCCGACCCTTTTTACCATAACAAACGTAAGCGCCATCATTCACCACAACAATGCTTCCATGCTGGGGACACACAGCAACTGCTGGGTGCACAACTATGCGTTTGGTAGCCATTTGTCCCCAAGTTTTAAAGCACTTATATGAGATTTAATAAAAAAAAAATTCCCAGCAATCTTTAGAAAACCCCACATATCCTATCAAAAAATAGTTGGCGACATGTGTATATGAACAGCCAATATTCAAACAAATATGGAAACTGTATAACTTATTTGAGCCAATCTGATGATTTTTCGGAAGGCCAGTTGTTTTCAACCATAAAAGACACAAGGAATAATAAATGCCCTGCACTAAAACGGCCTACTACCTGCTGGATCCTTTCCCTGGCCACAGAACTGTGTCCGCGTTGTCATGCAGAAGGAGTGGGAAAGGATGCAGGACTGTGGGAATGACTTTGGATAGTCCTGGGAGGATGGAGTTATGTTTCTTTTTTCTTTTATTTGTTCTAATTAGTTATGCATGACAACAGAATGCATTTGGATTCATTGTACACATTTCTCTGGTTGTACATAGGGTAGTCACACCATCTGTGCAATCATGTATGTACTTAGGGTAATGATGTCCGTCTCATTCCACCATCTTTCCAGCCCCCATGCCCCCTCCCCTCCCTTTACTTCCCTCCACCCAAAGTTCCTCATTCTTCTCTTGTCCCCAACCCCCCCTCCCCCGCTTCTCCCCCAGACYCCCCCCCCCCCATTATGGATCAACATCCACATATCAGAGAAAATATTTGGCCTTTGGTTTTTTTGAGAAATCCAAATCAAAACTACTCTAAGATTTCATCTCACTCCAGTTAGAACAGCAATTATCGAGTTAACATTTTTAAGCAAGAGTGAGGTGGCCAAGTTCTGGCTGGAAAGTCACCTCCTGAGAAGGCACTCAGGAGGCTGAGCTGCTGAGGCTGATACCACCATCTGGGTTGGTGGGAATTACTCTTAATATAGTAGTAGTAGGCCTGGGGCTTTCCTAGCTCTGGGATCACTTTTTAAGGGAAACAAGAGCTCACATCCATTGTATGTGCCCAGACTTTCGGTCATTTCAGAATACCCATCACAGGTAATGAAAAACATTATAGCAATGCGGTAGAATTTAATACAAACTGGGCATCATAAATACATTTTAAAAATTAAAAAATAAAACATTTAAAATATGAGCTTGGATACTGAATGTCATCAATAGTAATAGTTTTAAAAAGGATGACTAGAAATACTTTTAAAAAATAGTGGTATTGTTAAAGGACTGTTAGTGTATTTGTTATTTTAATTAACTAAGACATGAAACCATTAAGTTATATTCACATATGCGGCTGGACATTCATGCACAGTGTATTAGTGAAGATGAGTCTCAGAAGAATAACCTCTTGGCTATAAACTTAACACTATCATTTATGGTGTGAGGTTAGACTAGGCACCAAAACACCTGTTTCACTTTATTTTCAGCAAAATAAATGGCATTGGAGAGCTTTATGAATTTAATAAAAATATCTCACATTAACTGTCCTAAATTCAGTACACTGAACTAAAGTTACATACAATTATCAATCACATGCTAATAAACATGCACTATATTAAATGAAAATGATTCTGTGAGGGTATAGTATACCAGGAGCTTTTATAACACTAATGAAATATACGAATGATATAGATTCAAAACGGTATTTACTTTGATTGTTATGATTTAAAATTTCTTCCTCACTTGTACTACCAAGGAACTTGAATAATTAGCAAATCCCTAGAGAGATTCTTTAGAATACTTACATTTAGGAAATAAACTCTGCAGAAAATAAGATACCTTTTGTTGCCAGGATGAACAACAAGTATTACAAATCAGAAGAGATGACAACAGCCTTTGTTATGTGGCATATAAACTCAGACTGTTATTTTTAGATAAAATGTTGGCTATTTTATCTAGTACTATTATTATGATTATCATCATCATCATTATTATTTTATTTTATTTTTTTTGTGGTGCTGGGGATTGAACCTGGGCCTTGTGCATGTGAGGCAAGCACTCTACCTACTGAGCTATATGCCCAGCTTACCTTGTATTTTTAATTTTAAAGTTTGGAAATACCGAGCACTATGATTAAACAATATTATTTCCTAGAGTCTGTAATATTAATGTCTGAGCCAATTAATCCAAAATTCTAATGAAGACAAAAGAGTTATTTCACAAAACAGAAGGTGAGTTACAAATGATATCCCTCTCACCCATTTCTCTGTAAAGCTAGCCCTTGGCAGTCCTGTATGGATGGACGCCATGAGGAGTGAGCATTTCCTCACAAGGCTGCAAAAAACAGAAGTCAGAGACCAAACGTTCAGTGACTTCTGTCTCCTAGATCAGCCCAACGCTGCCTCAAAAATCCCAGCAGATGGTGATTTCATTTTAATTTTATAACACAAAATGACTAACTCAAGCAAAATCAAACCAACCGATGAAAAGCTTTCCCTGCTGTAACAGAACTTTAAGAAGGATGACTCACCCTGGTGGGCACCCCCCACCTGCCTCAGGCTGGAGTCTCCTTGGCTTTGAAAACAAGCTGCCCTAAGTAGTCAGAGCAATCAAGCAGCCCCACTGAATCCGTGCCTGGACAAGGGCTCCTACCTTGGTATTGAAGTCCAGAGCATTCTGGGACGTTTTGTACAGTTCAGGATACTTCAACATATTCTCTTTTCTGCATGATCTCTCAAATATTCCAAGAGTTAAGGGAGGCATTGCTGTAAACAGCTGAAGTGACAAGTTGGTCATTATACCACACCGCCAAATGCAGGGTGCATCTTTATTTCAGACAATTAAATAAAACAGGCATTATTACCAAATGTATAAAACTTACCACATTATAAAGACCTATACACCATCTTTCAAAGAGGATCTGTCCAGAAAAGCCATTAACAAAGGCAAACCAGATCTAGGAAGAAAACAACCCCAAAACCCCAAAATTAGAACAAGAAAACATCAATGTATTGCTTAGGATCTATTGTATATTCAATTTTGCAAAACTACAGCATTAACATATTTTTAGGATGCTCTTGAAGATGACCTCTTTGCTTTACTTTTTTTGATTTAGAGGGATACCTTCATAAGGCATGTGCTATTCAAGTCAGAATTGGTTCTATTTGTCAAGTTATATCAATCAGGGCTATGAATAAACAACCACTGATAAAAAATTAAAAACCAGGTGCAGGGAACACACCTGTAATCCCAGTGACTTGGGAGGCTGAGGCAGGCAAGTTTGAGATCAGTCTCAGCAACTTAGCAAGGCCCTTAGCAATTTATAGAGAGTCTGCCTCCAATTAAAAAAAATTAAATAAAAAGAACTGGCAATATAGCTCAGTAGTAAAGCACCCCTGGGTTCAATACCCAGTACAAAAACAAATAAAAAAACAAAAAACAATTTGTTCTTAAAAGGGACTATATTTACACATATCATTAAATTTTTATGCTTTAATTACATTTAAAAAATACTATCAGGATGTAAAGTGCAGTTTTTAATTATAACCAGCATTTATTTAGAAAATAATATCCTATAATAGAATCAATATTTCCTTTTGTATCAGTTTATTTAAACACATTCACAAATTTATTTAAAATTTTATGTACATAGAGTTAGTTATATCTTGCTCTTTCCTCTTCACATTACAAAACATGCATTTTCTTAAGTTGTTCTATATCCTTTAATATGCCATTAATGGATGTAGAACTTCTAAAGTGTGGATGTAACTATTTTGGATATTAGGTTGCTTAAAGATTTTGCTATTAGAAATGATTCCAAACTGAACCTTACCCATCTCTTTTTCCTTAGAATAAATTCTTAACATACAATTTATGGGTCAAAGTAGGTGAGTGTGTTAAATATTTTCACAGTTCTTGTTAATTACTGCCATCAGAATGTCAAATTTGAATATACCTATTAAAATACTTTCAACTTAAATTTCGTGCTTTGATAAAAATCAAATCTTTACATTAAAGCATAACATTCTTATGTATTTTACCATTCTCTTTAAAGCCTTAACTTTCTAAACACAATTTAAGAACAACAAGGAGAAGTTTTTCTCCAACATATTTAAAATGGAAAATGAGACTATCACTGAGTGAGTAATACCGACATTACTATGAGTTTTTTTGTTTTTTTTTTTTTAAATAAAAAGAAGACCTAAATATAACTAAAAGTCAAGCTGACCTGGAAGAGTAAAAAGGCTGGACCAGAAATGAGATTACACAAAACACAAGCACAAAAACACAACACAACCACAAAACTCGTAGGGGGAAGCGGTCTTGACATGCGGCTTGAGTGAATTTTGAATGGGAGTCACAGGAACTTCGCTACACTTCACGTTTCATTTAACCTCATTATGGAAGCGTGAATTGCTACAAATTCACCATTTATCAATATGTACCCAGGCTGGCCTCCCTGTGAAGAGCCTCTGTACCCACACTGATCTTCCTTTTCATAGTGCAAGGGTCTGATGGAGCATGTGTAAAAATGAATATCTGCTTCATGAGATAGAAAAGAAAACAAAGTGGCAATAACATGAAAAATAAATCCCAAATGGTGGTGGGTTGTAATACACATTAACAACAACAACAAAAGCATAGAAACTGGGGTCGAATCTGAAATTTTTCCTTTCTTTTGTGTTCAACATTTTAACAGAAAATTTTTGAACATTTGCCTCAACAAGGAGCCAGATCATTTGTGCGTGCAAACTGAAGTTAAGTTTATTCTTCCCTTGGGAGTATATACGAATTGGTGAAACAGACTTTAGTGCCCCCCCCCACCCCTGTTGTGTTTTTTCATTTGGTCTTTTTGAGTTGTGGCATACATTAATACATGTTTGGGCTATTCCAGGTGATGGTTATGATTTCTCTGACAGCCACTGTGATCTGTTGTAGTAATATATTCTAAGAAGCTCTTTCTGATATTTTGGGTACGGAAATATAAGGAATTTTTAAACACAAATTGATTACAGCCTCTCTTGTCTATGAAGACACAGTCTAATCTTTGTTGGTCTGAAGAAAGTCAGGATTCTAGGCATACCAAATTTTCCTAAAGGACATGATTTGCCTCAAAATGCTACAGTTCTAAACACATTTGCAGTCATGAATACTGTATGCTATTGGAATTTTTTGCTAATAAATTTGTGTGTGAGTAGTAGGTAAATATTTGTAAATTTTAGTAGTTCCCTGTCTTCTGTGAATATAACATTTGGTGCTGATTCAAAAGCTACTGCTACCATGAGCTTAAAAACAAGGCCCTCTCTTAAATCAATGAATATATACACAATTTCAAGTTCAAATTTATTTGCAAATAAACCAACACGTCTGGTTCAAAGTGTATTTTAAGATACACAACTTAACTGCTTTATGACAGAAAAAATTTAAGTGGAATGTTAACACATTTTTACCAATTATTTTTCCTATTGAAAAGTAGGTGAACATTTTTTTTTAGAGATTTACTTTCAGCATTCTAAAAAGTTCATATTCTAATTTCATTTTTTTTTTAAAGGAGAAAGAAATGACTAGATAAGAATAAAACCTTTCAATATACTACCCTATATCTTCACACAAATATTCTGGAAGTCAAGTTTACTTATTAAAGAAGAGGGCTGGGGTTGTGGCTCAGTGGTAGAGCACTTGCCTAGCACGTGTGAGGCACTGGGTTCGGTTTGCAGCAATGAATATAAGTAAATAAAAAAATAAATAAAGGTCCATTGACAACTAAAAGAAAAAAAAATTAAAAAAAAGAAGAAAGATATGGTCTTTAACAGTGAAGTAGTTTACCAGAAACCTGATTTCAGGTTAGTCTGAGATTGCAGTTAAATGATATATTAGAAACACATCCCATGCTAAATAAGATAACATCTAAATTCCATAAACATGTAAAAGTCCCTCCTTTGACTCAACCAAAGTCAATGATGGAGAAAGAAAAACCCCAGGCCCTCTGGGGGAGGTGTCTACATTATTTCAGTTCACAGGGAATCCATCTCTCAGTTCAACTGGCTGGGAAAGTATCACCTTATTGAATTTAAGCTCAGCTTCTGGAAACTAAGAACACGACACTGTTTGGGGGGTCTTGACAGAAAAACTTGGATACAGCCAATCATTTGGAAAAAGAAAAAGTCTTATTTTATTAGGAAGGAGTCAGACATTTCAGAGAAATAAAAAAAAATCTCTTTAGAAAGAGCCAATCATGTAAACCAACACCTAGAGCTGCTGCCAGCCAGCTACCAGGAGTTAAGAACTTTAAACCACCACCTGCTAAATGTGTATTTATTTGTGTAGCTATAATTTACAGCAACACGGGAGCTCGACAGTGATATTCCTGGCAATTCAACGATGGGAAAGCAAATTTTTTTTGCAGATAATCTATAAAACCCACAGTGTTTGAGACTATGCCTTTATTAGTAAAGAAACTTCAGACCTGCCTCTCCTGGTATTATTTCCTAAATTCCACCTCGCAGCAGAGGCGTGGCAGCTAAAGCTTGACAGACATTTTCCTCATGGAACATTTCTGCATATTAAACAGCAGCTTACAAATAGTCAATGAGTTCTCTGCTCCCACGCCTGATCAGCACAAAAAACTGAAAGGAAAGATTCGAGACTGGTAGCTGTCCTCACTAGAGACATTCACCGATGTGTTTTCTGTCTATTCATTCGCAGTATTGACATGAGCCATTAACATCTGCAGAACTTGTTTTAACTGGCAAAAGTTGGGTATCTGGGAATTGATTTAAAAGGTCAATTCATTTCCAAGACAGTTGAATTATATTCAAAATACATTTCCATAAAGTGCTAAAAGAAAAATAAAAATGAGATTTCCAGTAAAGTTTAGAACTCGCTTCCTTTTTCATGTGTAAAGAATGTGATCAGTGTTAAATATCTCATGAAGAGGCTTTACATGAAAAGCCAAGTGAAATTTAGGGGTGATCAACCACAAATCACACAACCCTGGGTTTGAAAAATAGCATGCAGATTCAGCTTTCATTTCAGTTTATTTTATTTTTCCCATTAGTACATAAATTTTGCCCATTTCATTGTTGCCAATTAATCTAGATTTAAAATCTAGACTTATTTCATTTTGTAAAATTAAATTTTTATAAGCAGATTTGTTACTGGCACTGGTTTTAAAATTCTAATTTAAAAGTCTTCAAAAATATATATAAATATACTATAATATTCTTTTAAAAGTGTTTAGTTAGAATAGTTAGATATATAGAAGGAGAGACGAACCAAAAATATATACATTTTATAGAAAAGAACCACAAACATATATAAAAAATAATATTTTTGATTTTATAAACCATTTTGGAAGCACATTTTGTCTTAAAGCAGATTGTTCCAAACCAAACCTAACAGTAATAAATAATAAGTAAGTTCATGAAGTATCTTATTTTTGTTTCTAAATATTTGATTATTTTATCTAATAGGCTGTAACCTAATGATAGATCTTTAGTGACTAATAAATGAAGCAAGCGGCTTGTATATTCAAAACAAGTTTCAATTTTACTAACCTGGCTCATAATAAAACTATGCTCAGTCAACACTTTACTAAGGTTAAAAGCATTCTGACAGAGGTAAAGAACAGCTGAGCCAAACATATATCAGTCCCCAAATAACAGGGCAGATGTGGGATCTACTGATTTTTTTTTTATACTGCTACTTCTCTGGTGTAAAATATGAGATCTTATTTCCACATAGCAAATGGTTAGGTTGTGTGCCTTCTGATAGATGTGTACAAATAGCCAACAGAACAGAGAGCAAGGTGGCACCAACTTCTGTAAGGAATTCCTCAGAAGAGCTATGGGGGTATGTTCTGCAACAGTGAAGGCACGTTTTCTTACCAGGCTACTAGGACCTCCTTGCCATGCTCCACAGAGTTGCAACAGGAACATGAAACTGATAACACCTACAGTTTCATTATTACAAATATAGCTTCTGATGATTCAAAGGCCAAATGTTAAAAAAAGGTAAATAAATTATTTGTCACATCCTGAGTAACCATTAGGTTCATTTATTTGTCCACTAGTGCTATGCTCTACAATATGGTAGTCACTGGCCACATGGGACTCTCAAGCACTTCAAATGGGACTAGTCTAAATACAGATGTACTGTAGGTCTAAAATACATACCAAATTCTAAACACTTAATATGGAGAAAATAATATAGAATATAAAATATTTATTAATAATTTTTATAGTAATTAATGTTGAAAATGATACTTTGAAATACATTGAGTTAAACAGAATATGATATTGAAACAAATTTGAACTTTAATTTTAGTATTTTGCTAATGTAGCTCCTGGAAAATTTGAAATTAGACATGTGGCTTCCATTGTACTCAATTGGCAAGGTTCTGGAGGACAGAAATCATGCTACATTTATATTGTAGCTGTTGGACTAAGCCTGGAACCTGGCTCCTAGCAGATGCTGCAAAAATGTTCATAGAAAAAAAAAAGTGTTTTTTTTTATTTTCTTCTTCTTTTTTTTTTTTTGGTTTTAGAAGTGACATTCCTGATCTAGGTTTTCATTTTTAAAATAAGGCTACATTTGATACACAAAAAAGATCGCAGAAATCCTTTGCTATCCACACACGGATATAATTTCTAGGTAAAGCCCTTATTATCTGAACTCTTGTTACTTACCAAACTCAGAAACCAAGACAAGTCTAGATAGCAAGAGATACCTGTATGTAACATAGATCTAAGTTTTCAAAAAACAAACAAACAAACAAAAAACAAAACAAAACAAAAAAACCCACTACAAACCAATACCAGCAAAGCTATTGTATACTCTTCCTGATTCCACTGCTCTTTCTCCCCCAGAATTAGAACTTATTCTCAGTTCTGTGTTTATCATCCCCTTATTTTTCTTTAAAAAAATTTTATTCCTGTGGTGCTGGGGAACATTATTTGTCTTTTTAGATACAATTTTCCATATGTGCATTATCCTTCAACAGTGTGTTGTTCTTTTTAGTATGTTTTTGAGCTTTATAAAAAATATAGTTTGTAGCTTTTTAAACTGAAAACACGGCCTCATCAGCAATTCTAATTCAATTCTGCTAGGAAAGCAATATAACATTTTTAGCTCGAATTTAAACATTAATTGTTCGCCATGGCTGACAACCTTTTTGTTTGAATACATTTAGACATAATAAAAAGTAAGTGAGCAAATGAAGTATTAATGAAAACAATGAGAAAATTTCTTCATAAAGAAAATGTCTTTAAATATGTATGCAAGTGACAAGGCCTTTAAATATAGCCTGCTATTACCTCGATAATATAGAGGACTATGTTCTTGTAGAAGCAGTACAGGATGCACTTGGACACTCTGTTATAGTTCCAGGCACCATGAACCATCAGTAAGTTCTTCAAATACTTGAACTAGAAGAAGAGTAGGGAAAAAAAATTATTATTTCCTCTTCAATAGTGTTAGTTGGCAAAAAGGAGTGGGTCCTGTTTTGCAGCAGTGATGCTTTACCTGGGCTATGGAGTAGTCTGAGGAATTCGCCGCCTGCAAGCCTTCGTTGCCGCTTATCCCGACACCGACGTGGGCTGTCTGTATCATGCTCACGTCATTTGCTCCATCACCAATTGCCAGTGTTATGACTTTGACTTGTTTCTTAACCATCTCAACGACTTCAGATTTTTGAAGAGGAGAAACCCTTAAATTAGAAAAAATTATCAGTTATCTCTGTTTTCTTAAAAAAAAAAAGGAATTTTGAAATGCCATTGTTTTGAAGGATAAAAAAAGCAAAAGCTCCAAATGGGTCGTTCTCTGAAGAGCCATCATGGGAAAGTCTCATTTTGAAATGTTTAGTTCTCAGTTAACCTGGTTGCTACTTTAAGTAGGGGGGAAATGAAGTCATGGAAGCAAATCTTTAAGTGACAGCTAGAAGATACTATTCTTTGGTAAGCACTGGCTGTCCAGGATGTTCTTATTAATTTGTTAAAGAAAAAAAAATTTGAGTCCAGAAATTCCATTACTTCCCAACAAATAACAACCAAATTTCTAATTTTTCACTTCTGAATTAAAGAGAAGGTCATCAAGGTTGTTAGTAGTTTTCCAGACAATAATTAAATCCTATCTAGTACCTAGAAAGTAAAAGTTCTGAGCTTCTGAAAGCTGGTCTTGCATAATGTATTACATGCTTAAAACAACTTGAAACTCTACTTAAATTAATAGTCAGAGTGGCTAATCCTTACACCTGTTCTCAGACACCACTGTGAATCCGCATCATAGTAAAAACACCAAGTGCTTAATATAGTTTGTGTGCTTCACTTTCTTCCAAAGCCACTGATGCACAAGTAAAAATCAATCAACCTTTTATAAAAACATAGTCAGGGATAAAAGACATCAGCCTACTATACGCTGAACTATACTAAAATTATATTTGGTATTAAATTTGGAGTAATTTTTCACAGACTCTTAAAAGCCATTTAAGAAATAAATGCCAAGACAATGACAGAAGGGTTCCAAGACAGAGTACATCAGTGCAATTAACTTAATAAATTGTCCAGACTGTACTGGGAATTACAGAGAAAGCCAGGAAGACTAAACAATGAACTGGTCCAGCCAACTATTAAGATAATAATTAAATAGTAAGAAACAACCAGCACACGCCATGCTGATGGACAAGAAGAATATCTCATAGTTAAATTCTTCATCAAGGTTAAGTGGCACAGGTGTCCAATAAATATCTGCTGAAACATCTGGGAAATCATTTATTTAAAATGAAGATTATTACTCTAAAAGAATCGACACACCTCTGCACATTTTCCTGATTATTTCCATAGGAAAAAATTCCTAGCAATGGATACCGTGCTCGAATATGTGCCATCAAGAGGCCCCACTGCCTGCAAGAGCACAGTGAACTAGAGCAGCTCTGGCTTTGATTTCAAGCCGGAGAATCACAGCGTGAGCCTGTGAGATGCCTGCAGAGTGAACCAGTCTCTCTCTTCCTCTTTGTATTTTTAGTGCCTGATCCAGAAAAGGTAAATGGCTTAGTAAATGGCTGCTACATGAATGAATTATTTTTAATTTTTTCTTTGGATTTCCTTTCAGAGTCTGGCAATATTACAAAATGACACAGCTGTGAACTCAGTGAGGGAATGAATACGTATCAGGCCACTAATGGGCTATTTCAGTGTTACCCTCCATATTCCTTTGAAGCAATTTTCATTTCATTTTCAACTTTATTTAATTTTTCTTAACAGGCTAATATAAATTGGTAAGGCCACTGGGTCTAGGCCAATGTTTTAAACATGGACTGTAGCTGACATTTAGTAAATGTCAAAAAAAGAATGCCCACCAAGCAACGCTCTAGAAAGCAAATGGGAAACAGGCATGAACAGAGAGAAGCATTTGAAGACATTTATCAAATTCCCTTTAGCAGGCTCACAATATTAATACATTATAAAGTCACACTATGGGTTCCATGGAGTTAGGACACAGTGATACTTTTTTTTTTTCACGAACTGACCCTGCACAGTGAGCTAAATTACAATCCACTCTATTTTCATTGCTTGATACTGCAATTTTTAATACTCCCCAATTAAAATTAGTGAGAATTTCCCCAACTCCATGGGAATGGCTAACTTCAATGTTAAAAGTGGAGTAGAAATACTCTTAGCAAGAAAAATGCCTTTTTAAAAAAAGATGGTGAGGTAGTGAGAGACACTCCCCAAGGTACAGTATAATAGCTGTTAGTAAGGGCATCTGCTTCCTTTACCAAGCTGAATATGGACAAACCACCTTGGAAGATAATTCAAGAAACAGGAAGTCCTCATTTCTAATGAATATGAAGTAGCAGCTGGTTGCTAAACAAAGACGTTGATTTAACTGGTGATTCATTTAAAAAAAAAAAAACCCACATTCTCAAAACATAAATGTACAAACTTGTGACATACCACAAAGAACCTTAGTTTGCATGAAGTCTGCTGGTTGAAATTCTATTTTTTGTTGCAGAAACATCACTCACAAGATACCATCCATGGGTGGTTTCACTAAAGTGGAGACTAGAATGTAATGATTCTTTCCACCCCTGTTTATAGTTACCTTACACCCCTTCCCTAAAATTCAATAGCTCATTTTTCTAGCAACTCAAAATCTTTCTAGACCATTACACCTGGTTTTCCTAGCAAGATTACAACTAGATCTAACTGGATTACTTAAATGGCTCATGAAATATTTAATTAATGGTGATTAAGAAGTACAATAAGAATAAATGTGTTAGGGAATGATCATGACCTGGAAAGCACAAGTGAACCCATGGAAGGTACAAGTGCACACCACAGTGTCCAGGCCCTGGGAAGAGAATGCTAAGGACATCTGACAGCAGGTCTCAGGAAGGGGATGTGCTTTAAGGGGATCCAGGTTAGTCAAACTGAAGTTAGTTAGAAAACAGATCTACAGCTTGTGCATTCTGAATCTGAAACTTCAGGATTCATGAAACTTTTTGATTGCTGATATCATGCCACAGGCGGAAAATTCCACATCTGACCTCATGTGGACAGGTCATAGTCAAAGTGCAGAGGCATTAAAAAAATCATATTAAATTACTTTCTGGCTTTGTGTATAAGGTATATATGAAAACTAAATGAATTTCACATTTAGACTTGGATCCTATTCCTAAAATAATCTCATTATCTACGTGAAATTTTCTAAAATCTGAAACAAACGAATGAAAGAAAGTCTCAAACCTAAATACTTCTGGTTCCAAGATTTTGGAGAAGGGATCCATGACTTTTATACCTTTATTTTGTTTATTTATTTTTATGTAGTGCTGAGGATTGAACGCAGGGACCCACACGTGCTAGGCAAGCACTCTACCGCTGAGTCACAACCACAGCCCAGGGATACATAACTGAATATTTTCAAAGCATCCATGTATAAAATGGTTCCTTGATAGATGGAGGATATAACAAAGAAAATAAAATTATAAGTCATTAAAGATGAGAGTAGCATAAAGCTTTCTGATAGGACCTCTTGTAATTAATAATTCTAAAAGACACAGAGATCAGTGTGGGTGACCTTGAAAAGGTGGAATTGGCTTCGGCCTTGACAAAGAGAGGAGAGCTCACTTGAGGAAAAGGAAATAGAACATATTAAACTTCTTTACACATTCGAAATCCTCCAGAATATACTTCTTTCTATACTGTGTTTCTATCTCTTAAAAGTTTGCTACTCCACTCATCAGTTTATTTACTTCCTTAAGTTTTGTATACTTGCTTCTATGTTTGTACTCTCTCCATAACAGTCCAGAACAACCATCTCTACAAGAAGGCAATTACTCCCAATGCTTATCAAAAGCCACATGCCCATGTGAGAATATATAAAACTTAAACTTTCCAAGTACCAAACAGCAACCAAATGTATAATTTAGAAACATCATGACAGTGCCTTTTCTTTTTACAAACATGTATAGATATGCACACATATGCATGTGTGTACATACAAGCTTGTGTGTCTGCATTAAGATGGAAATTATTCCTGTTCTCCTCCAGACTCTGTGGAAAAAAGAACAACAACTGCATATCCAGAGTATAGTGTAAAGTCTGTTTTGTTTCCCTGTGGCTCCACAAACAGAGGGTGGTCCTCTGATACAACCTAGAAGTTCACTGAGTGTAATATGCTTTTCAGATATTATTCTGGCTGCAGTTTCTGCACATGTTATTCATTATTTTTCTTATTTGCTATGTAGTAACTCTCACTGCCCTGTGAACATTTGATCAGAGCACTGGAAATTTTTACCATTTAAGTAAGAAGTATATAGGTGGTCCCTTCTTACATGAGCCTTGTTTTGCACTCTTTTAATGGGATTAGCTAAATGAATCACCTTTCTGAATGGACTCTGGATAAAGATTATATAGACATGTATATATACAGACATATAATCAGGAATAATTTGAGAGATTTTTTTTATAGGTAGTCAAAAGACTTATGTGGAAAATTTAATAGTAATAATACATTATTGGTATAATTTTAAATGTATGTATGAAAATTTTTTAGGTTGTTACCCAAAACACAATCTAGTAGGATAAAAGGATAAATTATTGTACTTTGGCTACCTATAAAAGGTTAAGAGAGAAATAGTATAGTTTTTTTTTTTTTTTTTTTTTTGGTACCAGGTTTTGAACTCGAGGTTCTTAACCACTGAGTCATTTCCCTAGCCCTTTTTATTTTTTATTTTGAGACAGGGTCTTGCTGAGTTGCTTAGTGCCTCACTAAGTTGCTAAGGCTGACTTTGAAATTGTGATCCTCTTGTCTCAGCCTCCTGAGCTTTTGGATTACAGGTATGTGCCACTGTACCCAGCTAAATATAGTATTTTCTAACTATTCTGAAGTGTTTTATATAGTGACCAAGTCTTGGTACTTCCTAAGCTTCAGGTAAACTCCTGGTGACTAGATCTGCTGTACTTTTCTTTGCAAGAAACCCCTTAAGGTTTCTCTTATGGATATCAGTTTGTTCCCTACCATTGAGTCATATTCTGCTGACTAGCAAAGAAATTGCAAAAAAGAGAAAAATCTAACTTATGAGATCTTACTTGAAACTTCTTGAAATAAAGTTTGTTAGGTTCATTTATGAAGTTTTAAATTGAGAAGAAATTAAAATATGCCCCAAAATTTATGTAATATGTACCAAAATTACATAAATATTAGAAC